ACGACATATGTATATCCAGCTATCGAGAAGGAGATATACAACTATACACATCATGCAAAACCAGGTCGCTACAAATCGAATACAACAGATAGATAAATAAAATTATACACGCAGAGGCACCACATACCACTACCACCAATCATACACACAGTGCCAGACAGTGACCACTACCACCAATCATACACACAGTGCCAGACAGTGACCACTACCACCAATCATGCACACAGTGCCAGACAGTGACCACTACCACCAATCATACACACAGTGCCAGACAGTGACCACTACCACCAATCATGCACACAGTGCCAGACAGTGACCACTACCACCAATCATACACACAGTGCCAGACAGTGACCACTACCACCAATCATACACACAGTGCCAGACAGTGACCACTACCACCAATCATACACACAGTGCCAGACAGTGACCACTACCACCAATCATACACACAGTGCCAGACAGTGACCACTACCACCAATCATACACACAGTGCCAGACAGTGACCACTACCACCAATCATGCACACAGTGCCAGACAGTGACCACTACCACCAATCATACACACAGTGCCAGACAGTGACCACTACCACCAATCATACACACAGTGCCAGACAGTGATCACTACCACCAATCATGCACACAGTGCCAGACAGTGACCACTACCACCAATCATACACACAGTGCCAGACAGTGACCACTACCACCAATCATACACACAGTGCCAGACAGTGACCACTACCACCAATCATGCACACAGTGCCAGACAGTGACCACTACCACCAATCATACACACAGTGCCAGACAGTGACCACTACCACCAATCATACACACAGTGCCAGACAGTGACCACTACCACCAATCATGCACACAGTGCCAGACAGTGACCACTGCCACAATCATACACACAGTGCCAGACAGTGACCACTACCACCAATCATGCACACAGTGCCAGACAGTGACCACTACCACAAATCATACACACAGTGCCAGACAGAGACCACTACCACCAATCATGCACACAGTGCCAGACAGTGACCACTACCACCAATCATGCACACAGTGCCAGACAGTGACCACTGCCACAATCATACACACAGTGCCAGACAGTGACCACTACCACCAATCATACACACAGTGCCAGACAGTGACCACTACCACAAATCATACACACAGTGCCAGACAGTGACCACTGCCACAAATCATACACACAGTGCCAGACAGTGACCACTGCCACAAATCATACACACAGTGCCAGAGAGAGACCACTACCACAAATCATACACACAGTGCCAGACAGTGACCACTACCACAAATCATACACACAGTGCCAGACAGTGACCACTACCACAAATCATACACACAGTGCCAGACAGTGACCACTACCACAAATCATACACACAGTGCCAGACAGTGACCACTACCACAAATCATACACACAGTGCCAGACAGTGACCACTGCCACAAATCATACACACAGTGCCAGACAGTGACCACTGCCACAAATACATACACACAGTGCCAGACAGTGACCACTGCCACAAATCATACACACAGTGCCAGACAGTGACCACTGCCACAAAATCATACACACAGTGCCAGACAGTGACCACTACCACAAATCATACACACAGTGCCAGACAGTGACCACTGCCACAAATCATACACACAGTGCCAGACAGTGACCACTGCCACAAATCATACACACAGTGCCAGACAGTGACCACTGCCACAAATCATACACACAGTGCCAGACAGTGACCACTGCCACAAATCATACACACAGTGCCAGACAGTGACCAGTGCCACAAATCATACACACAGTGCCAGAGAGAGACCACTACCACAAATCATACACACAGTGCCAGACAGTGACCACTGCCACAAATCATACACACAGTGCCAGACAGTGACCACTGCCACAAATCATACACACAGTGCCAGAGAGAGACCACTACCACAAATCATACACACAGTGCCAGACAGTGACCACTGCCACAAATCATACACACAGTGCCAGACAGTGACCACTACCACAAATCATACACACAGTGCCAGACAGTGACCACTGCCACAAAATCATACCACAGTGCCAGACAGTGACCACTGCCACAAATCATACACACAGTGCCAGAGAGAGACCACTACCACAAATCATACACACAGTGCCAGACAGTGACCACTGCCACAAATCATACACACAGTGCCAGACAGTGACCACTACCACAAATCATACACACAGTGCCAGACAGTGACCACTGCCACAAATCATACACACAGTGCCAGACAGTGACCACTGCCACAAATCATACACACAGTGCCAGACAGTGACCACTGCCACAAATCATACACACAGTGCCAGAGAGAGACCACTACCACAAATCATGCACACAGTGCCAGACAGTGACCACTGCCACAATCATACACACAGTGCCAGACAGTGACCACTACCACAAATCATACACACAGTGCCAGACAGTGACCACTACCACAAATCATACACATAGTGCCAGACAGTGACCACTGCCACAAATCATACACGCAGTGCCAGACAGTGACCACTGCCACAAATCATACACACAGTGCCAGATAGTGACCGCTGCCACAAATCGTACACACAGTGCCAGACAGTGACCACTGCCACAATTCATACACAGTGCCAGACAGTGACCACTGCCACAATTCATACACAGTGCCAGACAGTGACCGCTGCCACAAATCATACACACAGTGCCAGACAGTGACCAGTGCCACAAATCATACACACAGTGCCAGACAGTGACCACTGCCACAAATCATACACACAGTGCCAGAGAGTCAATCCAAACTTTACAACTCTCGTTAGTTTACAGTAATTGCTGAGGATTAGCTGGGGTGAGCGCTCCTCACATGACCTGAGTCCCCAGGATCCATCCCCAGGTCACTGTTGTTACTGTCACTAGTGTTACCGTCACTGTTGTTACCGTCACTGTTGTTACCATCACTGTTGTTACCGTCATTGTTGTTACCGTCACTGTTGTTACCGTCACTGTTGTTACCGTCACTGCTATTACCGTCGCTGTTGGTACCGTCACTGTTGCTACCGTCACTGCTGTTACCGTCACTATTGTTACCGTCACTGTTGTTACCGTCACTGTTGTTACTGTCACTATTGTTACCGTCACTGTTATTACTGTCACTGTTGTTACCGTCACTGTTGTTACCGTCACTGTTGTTACCGTCACTGTTGTTACCGTCAATATTGTTACCGTCACTGTTTTTACCGTCACTGTTGTTACCGTCACTGTTGTTACCGTCAGTGTTGTTACCGTCAGTATTGTTGCCGTCACTGTTGTTGCCGTCACTGTTGTTACCGTCACTGTTGGTTGTTACCATCACTGTTGTTGCCGTCACTGTTGTTACCGTCACTGTTGGTTGTTACCATCACTGTTGTTACCGTCACTGAAATTCAGATTCAGAGGTATTTCTACGAAATATTTCACTTCTTGTTTTGGGCCGCAAAGTTGATCCATGTTGCAGCTGAAGCCTCAGCCCGGCCAGCACGCAGGCGTGCAACATACTCTTCAAAAGGGAGTTCGACAAACTGTTCAACGTGTTATTCAACGTACTGTTCAACAGACTATTCAACTTACCTCCAGGCACCGTCGTAGTCGGGGGTCTGGAAGTTGCTGCTAATCTCAGATACAAAAATATGGTAAATTTGTTGTCGTTATTTGAAGAACTAACCTATTGTTTCCCAGGTATTGTCGTTTTCTTTCAGTCTTCTTGTGGCTGTTCTTCGCCTGACGCTGTGCTGCTCACGGCTGAACTTCGAGTGTTTTGCTGTCTGGCGAACAGGTCGCCTTGCTTTTCAAGCAAGTTGTTATACTGCCTATCTGTGGCTCACAAGGTAGCCTGTCTAGGGTCTTGTTTTGTCAACCGCGTTGTAAGTCGAGTCTAGCTGAGTACTCTACACACACACACATTACTCTTGTACTTTTGAGTACATTTCATTACAGCTACGTACCAGATGGTATCATTTCTTAGAGTATTACAGTGTACAGTGTCATAGGTAGAGTGCTAATAGCAGAGTGCGCTGCTGAGGTCAGTACGGTACGGGATTGTTGATGTGAAGACAGACTAGCTGGTACCGAGCCAGTGTCAGGCTAGGTGCTAGAGAGGGGGGGGCTAGTATGTCGATTTTCTAGTGCTCTACTATATGGCTGTGCTGAGAGATGTGGCATTCTGTAGCACTACTACTAGTACACTACTACCATTACTACTACTACTACTGCTACCATTATTACTATCACTACTACTAAATAGAAAAGAGACCAGCAAACTATATCGGAAATCTTCACTGGGTGAAATTTTACGCACACACACACACACACACGCACACACACACACACACACACACACACACACACACACACACACACACACACACACACACACACACACACACACACACAAACACACACACAAACACACACACTAAAAGGATAAGCCCTTAACTTTCTTGCATAATGTAGGTTACTTGGCTCCTGCCACCTCACCTCCTGCTTCCTCTTCCCCTTCCTCACCTGGATCCTCACCTGGGTCCTCACCTGGATCCTCACCTGGGTCCTCACCTGGGTCCTCACCTGGGTCCTTACCTGGGTCCTCACCTGGATCCTCACCTGGATCCTCACCTGGATCCTCACCTGGGTCCTCACCTGGATCCTTAGCTGGATCCTCACCTGGGTCCTCACCTGGGTCCTCACCTGGATCCTCAGCTGGATCCTCACCTGGGTCCTCACCTGGGTCCTCACCTGGATCCTCACCTGGATCCTCACCTGGTCCACCTGGGTCCTCACCTGGATCCTCAGCTGGATCCTCACCTGGGTCCTCACCTGGATCCTCACCTGGATCCTCACCTGGGTCCTCACCTGGGTCCTCACCTGGATCCTCACCTGGGTCCTCACCTGGGTCCTCACCTGGATCCTCACCTGGGTCCTCACCTGGGTCCTCACCTGGATCCTCAGCTGGATCCTCAACTGGGTTTTCACCTGAATCATCACCTGGGTCCTCACCTGGATCCTTACCTGAGTCCTCATCTAGTTCACCTGGGTCCTCACCTAGTTCCTCACATGAGTCCTCACCCAGTTTCGCACCTGAGTCTTCACCTGCCTACTCACTTGGATCCTCCCCTGGGTCCTCACCAAGTCCCTCACTAAGTTCCTCACCGAGTTCCTCACCAAGTTCCTCACCAAGTTCCTCACCGTGTTCCTCACCAAGTTCCTCACCGTGTTCCTCACCAAGTTCCTCACCGTGTTCCTCACTGAGTTCCTCACCAAGTTCCTCACCGAGTTCCTCACTGAGTTCCTCACCGTGTTCCTCACTGAGTTCCTCACCAAGTTCCTCACCGTGTTCCTCACTGAGTTCCTCACCAAGTTCCTCACCAAGTTCCTCACTGAGTTCCTCACCGTGTTCCTCACCAAGTTCCTCACCGAGTTCCTCACCAAGTTCCTCACCAAGTTCCTCACCGAGTTCTTCACCAAGTTCCTCACCAAGTTCCTCACCAAGTTCCTCACCAAGTTCCTCCCCAAGTTCTTCACCAAGTTCCTCACCAAGTTCCTCACCGAGTTCCTCACTAAGTTTCAGAACAGGAGGGACAAGTTCCACAGTCGTACTGTCACCGCGAAGATACGTGAAGGCAGACGCTCGAAGAGCACATCTCGCCCCACTTGAGGCCGAAACGTCGTCGAAATAGAGACGTGGTCAGCAGCGTTTCTTCCCTCAAGGAGCAACTTAAATATAAGTCACCAAGCCAAGCCACCGCTCACACTATCAACTTAGAAAACTTAACCTCTCAACTTAAAAAGTTAACCGCAGCATCTATGCAAATTACGTGGAATTCAATCATCACCTTCTTCTACTTCTCCTCATCTTTGTCTTCCTTCTTCTTTTCCTCCTCCTTCTCCTCATTCTTGGGAATATAACCTGGTGTATATCCTGGGAGAGGCTGTATGCTGGTTATACTCTACTGCCACTACTGCTATTAGATAGAAATAGATGGTAGATGGCCGTGATAGGACAGAGAGAGAGAGAGAGAGAGAGAGAGAGAGAGAGAGAGAGAGAGAGAGAGAGAGAGAGAGAGAGAGAGAGAGAGAGAGAGAGAGAGAGAGAGAGAGAGAGAGAGAGAGCGCATGGCAGCATCATATAGCAACAATTTCCTCAGTCAGCAGTATTGATCAGTCGAGTGCTGAGACTCTCTCTCTCTCTCTCACCTCTCACCCCTCACCCTCTAACATAGCCTAGCTTAACCTAACTCGCTCTAACTTCAAAAATAAGTAAATTAGAATTCGTAAATGACTGGGAAGTGGCAACTTTCCAGACACTTGGATCAAACCTTAATTTCCCCCCACCCACCAGGGTTTAGCGCTTTCCGGAGAGTATTCCCTCCGGAAGGTAATACTTTGACTTACTGGCCTTTAAGGATAGATGCGGTTTCTAAGTTAGGTTAGGTTAAGTTAGGTTAAGTTAGGTTAAGTTAGGTTAAGTTAGGTTAAGTTAGGTTAAGTTAGGTTAGGTTAAGTTAGGTTAAGTTAGGTTAGGTTAGGTTAGGTTAGTTAGTTATTGGTTAAGTTAGGTTAGGTTAAGTTAGGCTAAGTTAGTTAGGTTAGTTAGGTTAAGTTAGGTTAAGTTAGGTTAAGTTAGGTTAGGTTAAGTTAGGTTAAGTTAGGCTAAGTTAGGTTAGGTTAAGTTAGGTTAAGTTAGGTTAAGTTAGGTTAGGTTAGGTTAAGTTAGGTTAAGTTAGGTTAAGTTAGGTTAGGTTAAGTTAGGTTAAGTTAAGTTAGGTTACGTTAGGTTAAGTTAGGTTAAGTTAGGTTAGGTTAGGTTAGGTTAAGTTAGGTTAAGTTAGGTTAAGTTAGGTTAGGTTAGGTTAGGTTAGGTTAAGTTAGGTTAAGTTTGGTTATGTTAAGTTAGGTTAAGTTAAGTTAGGTTAAGTTAGGTTAGGTTAAATTAGGTTAGGTTAAGTTAGGTTAGGTTAAGTTAGGTTAAGTTAGGTTAGGTTAAGTTAGGTTAGGTTAAGTTTGGTTAAGTTAGGTTAGATTAGGTTAGGTTAGGTTAAGTTAGGTTAGGTTAGGTTAGGTTAAGTTAGGTTAAGTTAGGTTAGGTAGTTAGGTTAAGTGTTAGGTTAGTTAGGTTAAGTTAGGTTAAGTTAGGTTAGGTTAGGTTAGGTTAGGTTAGGTTAAGTTAGGTTAAGTTAGGTTAGGTTAAGTTAGGTTAAGTTAGGTTAGGTTAGGTTAGGTTAGGTTAAGTTAGGTTAAGTTAGGTTAGGTTAAGTTAGGTTAAGTTAGGTTAGGTTAGGTTAAGTTAGGTTAAGTTAGGTTAGGTTAGGTTAAGTTAAGTTAGGTTAGGTTAAGTGATGATGTTGAAGAACGAGACACTTGAGGGGCAGTGACGTCATCAGTTCAATACGGAGAAGAACAGCGGAAGAAGATGAATGTGAAATAATCAGTCCCTCAGGCTGGAGATATGTCCTGTAATTCAATCTTGATAAAAGTGAGACATAGAGTTAGGTAACATTCCTCAGGAACCAGGACAAGTGTTTCCTGACGCGGGTCTTAGATGATGACCAGCAGCTGGAGCTTTTGGTCATCTGACCGAGGCCTTCCGCTGGCTTACCCGTCCACCCCTTTAAAAATTATAATTACAGCAAACACATCATCCAGCACTCTAACAACCACGTCATCCAGTACTCTAACAACCACGTCATCCAGTACTCTAACAACCACGCCATCCAGCACTCTAACAACCACGTCATCCAGTACTCTAACAACCACGTCATCCAGTACTCTAACAACCACGTCATCCAGCACTCTAACAACCACGTCATCCAGCACTCTAACAACCACGTCATCCAGTACTCTAACAACCACGTCATCCAGCACTCTAACAACCACGTCATCCAGTACTCTAACAACCACGTCATCGTACCTAACAACCAGTCATCCGCACTCTAACAACCACGTCATCCAGCACTCTAACAACCACGTCATCCAGTACTCTAACAACACGTCATCCAGCACTCTAACAACCACGTCATCCAGTACTCTAACAACCACGTCATCCAGTACTCTAACAACCACGTCATCCAGTACTCTAACAACCACGTCATCCAGCACTCTAACAACCACGTCATCCAGTACTCTAACAACCACGTCATCCAGCACTCTAACAACCACGTCATCCAGTACTCTAACAACCACGTCATCCAGTACTCTAACAACCACGTCATCCAGCACTCTAACAACCACGCCATCCAGTACTCTAACAACCACGTCATCCAGTACTCTAACAACCACGTCATCCAACACTCTAACAACCACGTCATCCAGTACTCTAACAACCATGTCATCCAGCACTCTAACAACCACGTCATCCAGTACTCTAACAACCACGTCATCCAGTACTCTAACAACCACGTCATCCAGCACTCTAACAACCACGTCATCCAGTGCTTTAACAACCACGTCATCCAGCACTCTAACAACCACGTCATCCAGTACTCTAGCAACCACGTCATCCAGTGCTCTAAGAACCACGTCATCCAGTACTCTAACAACCACGTCATCCAGTACTCTAACAACCACGTCATCCAGCACTCTAACAACCACGTCATCCAGTACTCTAACAACCACGTCGTCCAGTACTCTAACAACCACGCCATCCAGCACTCTAACAACCACGTCATCCAGTACTCTAACAACCACGTCATCCAGTACTCTAACAACCACGTCATCCAGTACTCTAACAACCATGTCATCCAGTGCTCTAACAACCACGTCATGCAGTACTCTAACAACCACGTCATCCAGTACTCTAACAACCACGTCATCCAGCACTCTAACAACCACGTTATCCAGTACTCTAACAACCACGTCATCCAGTGCTCTAACAACCACGTCATCCAGTGCTTTAACAACCACGTCATCCAGTACTCTAACAACCACGTCATCCAGTACTCTAACAACCACGTCATCTAGTACTCTAACAACCACGTCATCCAGCACTCTAACAACCACGTCATCCAGTACTCTAACAACCACGTCATCCAGTACTCTAACAACCACATCATCCAGCACTCTAACAACCGCGTCAATTCCGCACGTACTCTAACAACCACATCATCCAGCAATCTAACAACCACGTCATCCAGCACTCTAACAACCACATCATCCAGCACTCTAACAATCACATCATCCAGCACTCTGACAACCACATCATCCAGCACTCTAACAACCACGTCATCAGCACTCTAACAACCACGTCATCCAGACTCTAACAACCCGTCATCCAGACTCTAACAACCACGTCATCAGTACTCTAACAACCACATCATCCAGCACTCTAACAACCACGTCATCCAGAACTCTAACAACCACGTCATCCAGTACTCTAACAACCACTCATCGTCTTACACCACTCATAGTACTCAACAACCAATCACAACTCTAACACCCGTCATCCAGTACACTCTAAACCACATCTCAGCACTCAATGCCAGACAGTACTCACAACTCAATCTGGCCAGACATCTCACACTCAGCTGGCCAGACAGTCTAACACACATATGCCAGATTAACAACCAGTCTCACACTCAGACGGCCACGACAGTACTCACACCAGACTGGCCAGACAGTCTCACACTCAACTGGTCACAGCAGTCTCACAACCAGCATGATCCAGCATCCTCAACCACTATCCAGCACTCATCACACTACGATGGCCAGACGTCTACACACATATCCAGCACTGTGACAGACAGTCATCCACACTCAACAGACCCTTCCAGACATCTAACAACACGTCATCAGACTCCAACCAGTCTCCACACTCTAAGAACGGCCATACAGTACTCAACTAACAATCATGGCCAGACAGTCTAACAACCAATGCCAGACAGTCTACACCACAGATCATGAGACCAAGACAGTCTCACATCAAGACTGGCCAGACAGTCTCCACACTCAGACTGCCAGCACAGTCCTACAACACATCTCCAGACTGGCCAACAGTCATCAACTCAACAGGCACAACCAGCCTCTCAACCACGTCATCCACTGGTCCAGACAGTCCATACTCAACAACCAACATGCCAGACAGTCTAACAACCACGTACAGACTGGCCCATATCAGTCCTAACACATCATCAGACTGCTAACAACGTCATCAACACTCTAACTGGCCAGACACAGTCTCTCACACTCAGACATGGCCAGACATCTCACAAATCTAGACATTCATAGTGGCCAGACAGTCTCACACTCAGACTGGCCAGACAGTCTCACACTCAGACTGGCCAGACAGTCTCACACTCAGATGGCTCAGACAGTCTCACACTCAGACTGGCCAGACAGTCTCACACTCAGACTGGCCAGACAGTCTCACACTCAGATGGCCAGACAGTCTCACATCAGACTGGCCAGACAGTCTCACACCTCAGACTGGCCAGACAGTCTCACACTCAGACTGGCCAGACAGTCTCACACTCAGACTGGCCAGACAGTCTCACACTCAGACTGGCCAGACAGTCTCACACCCAGACTGGCCAGACAGTCTCACACTCAGACTGGCCAGACAGTCTCACACTCAGACTGGCCAGACAGTCTCACACTCAGACTTGGCCAGACAGTCTCACACTCAGACTGGCCAGACAGTCTCACACTCAGACTGGCCAGACAGTCTCACTCAGATTGGCAGACTGTTCACCAGATGCGACAGTCTCACACTCAGACTGGCCAGACAGTCTCACACTCAGACTGGCCAGACAGTCTCACACTCAGATGGCCAGACAGTCTCACACTCAGACTGGCCAGACAGTCTCACACTCAGACTGGCCAGACAGTCTCACACTCAGACTGGCCAGACAGTCTCACACTCAGACTGGCCAGACAGTCTCACACTCAGACTGGCCAGACAGTCTCACACTCAGACTGGCCAGACAGTCTCACACTAGACTGGCCAGACAGGCTCACACTAAGACTGGCCAGACAGTCTCACACTAAGACTGGCCAGACAGTCTCACACTAAGACTGGCCAGACAGTCTCACACTAAGACTGGCCAGACAGTCTCACACTAGACTGGCCAGACAGGCTCACACTAGACTGGCCAGACAGTCTCACACTCAGACTGGCCAGACAGTCTCACACTCAGACGGCCAGACAGTCTCCACTCAACTGGCCAGACAGTTCACATCAGACTGGCCAACAGTCTCACCTGACTGCAAGTCTCACACTCAGACTGGACCAGACAGTCTCACACTAGACTGGCCAGACAGTCTCACACTCAACTGGCCTTGGACAGTTCACACTTAGATGCGCCAACAGTCTTAACTCAGACTGCTGACAGTTCACCTCGTGGCAGACTCTCACATCAGACTGGCCAGCAGTCTCACCTAGACTGGCCGACAGTTCACATCAACTGCCATGTACTGCTCACACTCGCTGGCCAGACGTTCTCTACGTCACTTGCGAGACTGGCCACAGTCTACACTCGTACTGTCACTGACGTTTCTACATCAGTACTGCCATGCGTTCTCACACTTGATGCAACTGCTACTTCACACTCGACTGGCCGACGTCTCACTAGACTGGCTCAGACAGTCTACGTCACGCTGGTCACAGTACTGTCTCCACTGCTGCGCAGTCTACTACTGTCACTGCCTGACAGTCTCACTGCCAACTGGCCTGCTGTCTCACACTGAACTGCACAGTCTGCACTTCGACTGTGCCACTGTCTCACACTCGACTGGCTCTGTACTGTTCACCTCAAACTGCCATGCAGTTCCCTCAACTGCATACTTCACTACTAGACTGCCAGTACTGTCTACTCGACTGCCAGCATCTCACTACTTACTGGCCAGACTGTTCTACACTCATGACTGGCTGACGTCTCACTCAGTACTGCACAGCTCTGTCTGCCACGTCACTGCAGCTGTCTCACCTCCACTGCCTGACTGTTACTGCTACTACTCAACTGCTGCTCTCACACTCAGTACTGGTCAACGTCTACACTACTGTACTGCACGCTACTGTCACACTGTACTGGCAACTGTCTCACACTCACTGGCCTGACAGTCACTGCATTGGCACGTCACTGCACTGGCCGACTGCTACACTAGACTGCATGTCTCACTTCACTGCCAGTACGTCTCACACTCGTACTGTCAGACGTTCTACGTCAGACTGCCAGACTGCTCACCTCAACTGCTAACAGTCTCACACTGCTGCACAGTCACACTTCACTGCACAGTCACTGCATGACTGGCCAGACTGTCTAACTGACTGCCAGACAGCTCACACTGCTACTGCAACTAGTCACACTCAGACTGTCAGACTGGTCACTCAGACAACAGTCACTGCTCTGTCACTGTCTGCACTGAATACGATACTGCTACTAGTCACCCATTATGTCACTCACATTACGCTCACTGTAACTGTATTACTCTTTGAGGCTAGTCACTCTATTGTAATCTGCCTATTGTATGTATCTTCTGTGTTACGCTATCTGCTACCTGAGTCACTGCTACTGTTCACTGCTACTGTCACTGTCGTGTACTGTCACTGTCACTGTCTGCTACTGTCACTGTGCTTTACTGCTACTGTCATGCTGCGTACTGTTACTGCCACTGCTCTGTACTGTTACTGTCACTGCTGTTTTACTGTATCACTGCTACTGTTCTGCTACTGTCACTACCTGTTACTGTTACTGCCACTGTCACTGTACTGTCACTGCGTTACTGTTACTGTCACTGCTGCGTGCTACACTGTCACTGCTGCTGTTACTGCCACTGCTCTGTTCACTGTACTGTCACTGTTTTCTGTACTGTCACTGCTACTGTTACTGCTACTGCTCTGTACTGTTACTGCCACTGCTAGCTGTCACTGCTACTGTCACTGCTCTGTTACTGTACTGCCACTGCTGTTGTACTGTTACTGTCCACTGCTCTGTATATGTACTGCTACTGTACTGTTACTGCCACTGTCTGTACTGCTACTGTCACTGCTGCGTACTGTCACTGTCTTACTGCTACTGTCACTGGCTGTCACTGTAACTGTCACTGTCACTGCTACTGTCACTGTACTGCTACTGTCACTGTCTACTGTATACTGTCCCGCACTGTAACTGTCACTGTCTTGGTACTGTCACTGCTCGCACTGCACTGCTACTGTCACTGCTACCACTGCTACTGTCACTGCTACTGTTACTGTCACTGCTACTGTCACTGCTACTGTCACTGTCACTGCTACTGTCACTGCTACTGTCACTGCTACTGTCACTGCTACTGTCACTGTCACTGCTACTGTCACTGTCACTGCTACTGTCACTGTCACTGCTACTGTTACTGCTACTGTTCACTGTCACTGCTACTGTCACTGTCACTGCTACTGTCACTGCTACTGTCACTGCTACTGTTACTGCTACTGTCACTGCTACTGTTACTGTCACTGCTACTGTCACTGCTACTGTCACTGTCACTGCTACTGTACTGTCACTGCTACTGTTACTGCACTGTCACTGCTACTGTTACTGTCACTGCTACTGTCACTGCTACTGTCACTGTCACTGCTACTGTCACTGTCACTGCTACTGTCACTGCTACTGTTACTGTACTGTCACTGTACTGTCACTGCTACTGTCACTGTCACTGCTACTGTCACTGCTACTGTACTGTCACTGCTACTGTCACTGCTACTGTACTGTCACTGCTACTGTTACTGCTACTGTCACTGCTACTGTCACTGCTACTGTCACTCTCACTGCTACTGTACTGTCACTGCTACTGTCACTGTCACTGCTACTGTCACTGCGTACTGATGCACTGTATGTTCACTGCTACTGTCTACTGTCACTGCTACTGTTACTGTCACTGCTACTGTCACTGCTAGTCTGTTATGTCACTGTCTACTGACTGTTCACTGTCTTTACTGTCATGTCGCACTGTATCTGTACATGATCACTGCTACTTGTCACTGTCATGCTCTGTCATGTTACGGCTACTGTCACTGCTATGTACTGCACGTACGTCACTGCTACTGTACTGACCATGCTATGTGTAACTGCACGTTACTGCACTGACTACTGTTTCACTGCTACATGTCACTGTCACTGCTACTGTTACTTCACTGCTAACTGTCACTGCTACTATCACTCGTCATGTCTGTCACTGCTGCTACGTCATGTACTGTGTACTGTCATGTCTGTTCATGTACTGTCACTGTCACTGCTCTGTCTGCTACTGTTCCACCTGTCACTGTACACTGTCACTGTACTGTCCACTG